GTTTTGCTGGGTTGACCACTGTCACATTTGTTCATTTAATTACTTCTGCAGTTTTAGTGAATGTTGACATCTTTTTTAACTACTAGGACGATCAACTCTCTCTTTCTTTACCCTGGTGGTGCCCATCTCAGTGCAGTGCATCAGGCACGATTTGCAGTTCAAAATATTGGTCACAGAGAGGACCGACAGTTGTCAATTTGGGTACTTTATATAGCACAGAAACATTTAACTATAACCATGCATGGCACAGTTATTTGAATTTATAAGCAATCTCCAAAAACTGACTGCTAAAAATTCATTGTTATGTAAGCCTCCTCCATGTACATATGAAGTTTTAATGACAATCTTGTTTTAAAATGCACAGTCAATGCGTTTGATATGGGTCCCATGAGAACATGTATTTAAACGTTCTTACCGACTGACACTTTAAAGAACTAGACAAACTGATTAATTTTAAGTTATAATTTTCTCAATAGTTAATTCTATAGCAGCCGGTATCCTGTATACAGCCATCAAAGAAATAAGTGGAGTCAGTGAAAACACCACAGTACTTGATATTTGCTGCGGCACAGGAACTATCGGGATATCACTGGCGAAGGTTGGTATAAGCATGCTTTTATGTTAGAAGGATGATAATTCAGGCATGGTTTGTGCAAAAGTATTGAACTGTTTTGAACCTAGAAACCTATCTGGAATGTACTCTGCACATTTTCTGCTAGAGATGAGTTTTTGTAAATTTTATTTATAGCAACTTTAAAGTTAAAATTGAAAAAATTGCCAGCAGTGAAAATTACACTATTCAATGTATATACAATTTTATTTACAGAATGTGAAGAGAGTGATTGGTGTGGAGATGTGTAAACAAGCTGTAAAAGATGCCGAACACAACGCAAAGGAAAATGGTAATATACTGTGATATTACATTAGATGTTTGAATGTCATTGTGAATGTATTTTGCTGAATTGACCTTTGAGATGACAAATAACAAGTCATGTAAAATTTTTGAAAGTTCTCTTTGTGCTCGTCATATTAAAGCGGAGGAGTTGTTGCGAGCATGTCCTTGAAACTTGAGCTCCAAGTGGCGTATACAACAGATTGTTTATTTACATCAAAACATGTGTTCCATGTAGTAGTAATATGGCTAAAAATAAAAACAGCCGTTATTTGGCCATCTTTGATCTGATTATGAAACATACTGATGTATGATGTATGTGCCAAATACGAATGAAAATGGTACATAAATTGTGGAAATATAGTAGTAAGGCCAAAAAGTCAGATGGCTGTCAATCGGCCATCCTTGACCAGATTTTGAAACAAATTGTCATGGACATGCATCCTATAATGTATAAAGTATAAAGACAGAGCAGGTCCAAGATACCGCATAAAAAAAACAAAAACAAGATGCCTGCCAGTCGACCATCTTTGATCCAATTGCGAAATAAATCGTCATGGACATGTATCCTAACATGTATAATCTATGTATGACAACTGACAAAGCATGTCCAAAATACATTTTCAAAAAACAAGATGGCTGCCAGTCGGCCATTTTGAATCGAAGTACTAAATTTAAACAATATTGTCGTGTATGGTTTATGGTGTATGGTTTTTACACTTCCTCTGTCCACGTGTGAAACAAATTACCGAGTGGTTTACAAAATCTTGGCAGTTTCGATAATTTCAGAAATCCTATCATAATGCATATTTTGCCAATCTCATTTAGCTATTTTCTCATTTTCTTCATGTATTTTCAGTGGTTTTGATAGAAAATCATTTTTAAGAGGGAGTACACCTTTGTTACCATTGGTAACACTCTATATTTGTTCTAATCTGATCATAATCTACTGACCGTTCCAGGTTCGGTAAGAGGGCGCAAGGCCTGGTCTGAACCTCTGATGTTTTATATATTCAGTTATAGTTTTTTTGACGGCCATTGGGAAGACTGAATTTTTATGTAACTGTGTTTTTAAACCCAGTAAATGAGGAAAATGATGAATTTGGGTAATCAAAATAGTTGAAAGTGTATCAGAAATGTCTAACTGAATTAAATTGTGAAACAAATATTTTCTTGTTTTTCCTAAACACAGGAATCACCAATATAAAATTCTTATGCGGCAAAGCTGAAGATGTCCTCCATAAAGCTATATATGATGTCTATGGTAGCAAAGAAGTAGTTGGTATATTGGATCCTCCAAGAGCTGGATTACGTAAGTGAAACTGTGTTCTTATCTATTTAGTGTTCGATAGCGATTGGAATGTTAGGTCCACCTTTTTAGTCCCCATCTGGCGTGGTCGGAAACTTGGACTAGTGTTTTGAGTTGTTCAAATTTAAGTCATAATGGAATACATATGTTCATCAGTTTGTTTTTATGATTAAACCCCAGAAAAACACCAATGTTCATTAGTGCCGACTTGTGGCCTCCAACATGACTCATTCTAGTTAAAATGACATGAGCTTGCTTCCGTTTTAAAGCGGGGGAGTCGTCACCTGCGCATGCATCAGATGGACATAGCGTGTCATTGTTTACAAACAAGCACCTACCCATGAGCCTTTGCGTTTTTAGCGTGTGTTATCGTCGCTTGGGATTCAATTCCAGCGGGGCACAGGTGACCACCCCTCCAGCTTTCACTGTTGAGTGGGTAAGCAATATTACACATGCAGTGAAAGGTCAAATTGCTATGAACGATAAATAAAGGAATGGCGTATTTTACATTTGTCATTAGATGCTAAGGTTATCCGTGCCATCAGAGGATGTCAGTACATTAACAAACTAGTGTATGTGTCTTGCAGTCCACGGTCAGCTGAATCTAACTTTGTAGAGTAAGTACCAGTATCACCATTGTTATTGCATGATGTCATACTCTGTATGATATTAATATTTATGGACTGGATATGGCTTTTGCGGCCCAAGGTTGTGCTTGCGGGGGCGCGTAATCCGTATGACCGGGGGCAACAAAAGCAGTATACAGCCCACGAAGGTTTTATCATATACCTTATTGGTGTAATTAAGGTTTTACCACGGCGTAACCTAAAACACATAACGCAATTTAGAACGATACATTTTGTTTTGATTGATTGATGAAGAGAAATAATAAGAGAAATTATTGCTCCCCATGTGAGGGTGCACTTTCCATAACGCTACATAAAAAACCACTGTATTTTTCATGCAACGTTTTGCTTTATTTTTGGTGCCTTGCATAATTTGTCCCCATGGCAAATGCATATACCATGCGACTTCAAACTGACCAATCATGACAAACCTGTGTTTGTTTATAAAGTTGATTGCCTTAACTGCACATTGTCTTGCCAGGGAGTGATTTTGTTGGTTAAATTGTAGAACCTAGCAGATACTCGCCAATTGTTCGACATAAACTATGATGATACAATGGTATTTAATAATTGTGAAATATTTTGGCCATATTCCTCTGCATAACCAAGTGTTAATGAATGCGATTTCTACTAATTCATTGCAAGATATTAATAAATTTTAAAAATTACAATGACATACCTACACAATGAGAATATTATGTTATTCTTTGATTTCAGCCTTTGCCGACAAACATCGAAGAGAATCAAAGGTGAAGCCTTCAGACCAACATGTGCTATACCAGTAGATTTATTTCCTCATACTAAGCACTGTGAATTAATCGTGTTATTTGAAAGAGACTCTGTGACGATTTCACATAACGATAGCAAACCTAACGAAGAGACAATAGTCCCTGAACAAAATACCAGTCATGATAGTGGAGAACATGATATCGATGGGGTATCAAAAACTGAACACGATAGCGACAAGATTCCCGATAAGCAATGTACGAGTGATATTGTAATGAACACTGAAGAAAGTACCAGTCATGGCAGTGGAGAGCCTCTTGATACGCAAGGTACAAGTAATATCGATGGGGTATCACATAGCGAGCAAAGTACCAGTCATGGCAGTGGAGAGCCTCTTGATACGCAAGGTACAAGTAATATCGATGAGGTATCACATAGCGAGCAAAGTAGCAATAGCGGAGAACCTCTCAACAAGCAGTCTACAAGTGATATAGATGAGAAAGCACCTTGCACAAAATCGATGTGCATTGAACCAAGTGATGGTCTAGCATCAACCATTTCCCAGCACTCTTGTATTGAATCTGGTGGGTCAGTTGAAAAGGATGTGGAAACTGAAATGCCTTCAGCAAATGTTGAGACCAAGGAAGCAGCAGTATGTAGTGATAATGGAGTTTCTAAAATGGACTTGGATAAACAAAATGTATAAACCTAGATCAGATTGATTTTTCTCAATTGTGTGTTTAAATAATTTCATTTCTGGGGTTTCAGAACAGATCCTGTGAACATTTAAACTCGCAATATGCAACAGCGTCCTTAAACGAATAGTTTATAATTCTCATTATTTAATTTTAAATACATTTTAAACTTTTAACCCTCGCTATGATTGTATGGGATGACTCTTGTCTGGAAAAGCACAGTAGGGTTTTCTCGTGGGTATTATAGGGTCCCAAACAATAGTCATTTAAAATAATATGATTACCATATTATATCGTTATGCTAATGCTACGACTTCATTCAATTTTCTATTCTGCATCAGTTAAGTTTTGTGAATAACCAATACGCTACATAATTTGGATTTTCTCTCAATATCCCAAATTATTGAAAATCAAATTTGAGACTACTGCTGAAGCTTAATTTAAATTAAAAATTAAAATAGGACTATGAGATGAATGTGATCCACAATAATTTTATAATTCTGCATCAGTGGTTTGCAGTCTGATTTATTCAAGAGCACCTGTGCAACAATTTTAAATTAAATCTGATTTTGTTTTTGAGATCAGAAATTGCCTGATGCATGGTTATCAACATAAAACTAATCCTGTCAGTTGATTACCACAGAATGGGATGAATATGCAAATTAGTATGCTAGATTCAATCCAAATCTTTAGCATTGCCCACAGACACACCAAGTCTTATTGGTATTCATTGATTTCAACCATAAGCATCCATTTATCACGTTTAATTGGAATGTGATGATCAGCTGTTAAAGATATCAATGGAAAAGCCAGAAATTGACTAAGATTCATTGAAATGCAATGATTAGTACATGTACTTGAGATTGGTGAAAACTGACATTATGCAAAGATTTTTAACCCAAAACTAACCCTGTATGTGCCACGTACCAAGTTCGACTGAAATATCAATGGAAAAGCTGGAAGTTTAATAATGTGCACAGATTAATGGGATCTGTGTATTTTCCCACAGCATTAATGTACCAAGTTTCTTAAAATAATGACAAACAGGGTAAGATGACAATTCTAGAGTGATAACACCCCCTCCCCATTATATACAATGTAGGTAGGTGGGGTGGGAGTTAACCATGCATTTTTGTGCAACAAAATGTCAAGATAAAGTCAGATCATAGTAATTATTGCTGTGTTTGTGCCTTGATCATTTATCCCACTGTAGCATCAATTGATTTGGATGAAACTTTGATGCACTAACCCTAGTGATGTAGTTGTGCTGCGTCCACTGGTTGCCTAGCAATGACCCCACAAAAATCAGTTATAAATAGCTTTAAAGATAGGTCAATGAAATGCTTTCTGAAATGTATTTCCACATTGATACATGCAACAGTTTGAGCCGCAAAACTGCAGCACAAAATTTCTTTTATCAAAATCTTTTACAGTTTTCTTGGCATTGCTGACAAACTATCAGATATATGCTCTACAATTTCCCTGAAAAGTTAAATCACCATAACTAAAGTTTATTTGGATCACTTTAACTTTTCATCGCACTTTCCTTCAGAAGAATGGGACCAAAAGTCTGGTGGTGATGTGAATTCATAGCTTTGCATAGATGGTGTACAGCTAGTAATGAGTGTTTTCACAATTACCATGGATTTATTATAACGTCATTAAAACAAATGTATATAACAGTGAAAAGAGAATTTAGTAAAGCTATATAAATAAAATGATCAGTGTATGTGGCATAGTGACACACAACAAAAACATAACAGGTGCAGAAAGCTGCTATCTAGTTTTCCTTGCAACAATTTAATCACATACAGAAATTTGCATAATTTCTTTTGTTTTTGTCATCAATCTGATTGCTGACTAAATACAGTTGCAGCCGGTGTATACACCTCTTACTGATCAACTACTAATGTATAATGCGTTCAGATCTTACATGATCATTAGTTCACAAATAAAATGTTAACGAGACCTCGTCTTCTACCATCTAATAGCCTGTACCCCTAATCAGCAGATGAACACGTACTGATTGTTCTGAAGATATTTGTGTTTCTGAATGAAACTACACCTAGCAAGTTTTTTTCCTGAACACTTGCAGGAAGAACAGTTTACGATTATTAATTTAAAAAAATGAAAGATTATAGTTTTTTGTGCTCTACATTTCCTACTGAAAATTTTAATTAAAAAACAACTCTCACTTCAACTGAGCGTGTGAGCAAACAAATCTAAAAAAATTTCAACATGATTTCCCAAATGCAACAGAAAACGCATTTTCTCCCAGTTTCTACTCAGCTTCGCTTCTCTTGATGATTTTCATGAATCTTTCACTTTTCTGTTGAAAATGAAAAATAGATGTACATTGTAGTTAAAAATTCATCTTTCTATTATTTTGTGGGATTTTCAGCCCTCTCCATACTAGTCGTAAAAGTTGCCTTGATTTTGGTCATTAACTATATGTAAATTTAATTCAAACATTGCAGGCACTCTTTCATCGCTTTTATCAGTATCAGTGGAGAACAAAGTCATACAGGGTCCATAGCACCAAGAGCCAAATGATTTCCAAGACTTCTAGACCTTTTTCCCAAACTCATTTTGATGCTTAATTCAGGGCAACATTATCACCAAAGCTCATCAAAGTTCTGAGGAGAAAACAGGCCTTTCTAAAATGAATTAATAACTATGAAAAAATGTAAAGACATTTTGACCCTTAATTCAGATCAGCATCATCACCAAGGCGCATCAAAGTTCTGAGGATATGGTAGTTGTAATAACTATGAAAAAATTTAAAGACTTTTCAATGATTTTGTTATTTTTCCTGTAATTTATAGACAACCCAAAGACTTTCAAAGGATTTTCCCAATGCTATGGACTGTCCTATGACTGTGACATCCATTGTTTGGAAAATTGTTATATTTATCAACCAATCAAACCATTTCACTGTCACCCACAAAACAAAGCCAATATTTCCAGACTAATACATGTTATAACATGTCAACGTTTTCACTTAATAATCAATGAATGGTTTAGAATATAAGTGACCATCTTAGAGGGTAAATTTTGGGTCTACCAACTGAAATTCATGCTTGAAATATGGGTTGTTTGATTCCTCATACAAGACCATTTGTCCAATCGTCCCTGGTGCTCAAACAAACGAAAACAAGCAGCCTGTCAATATACCTACACTGTTTGTGACACAATCTAATGATCAAATCTAAAAACAGTCCTACATATAGAATATTAAAGAAATTAAAGGCTAGCTGTCAAGAAGTTCAAAGATGGCATTTGCTATCCACATTAGAGAATTTATAGTCAAATCTAAAGGAGAACCACCCAAGTTACTTTCCTGGAAGAAGTCAAAAGTGTAAAGGGAAAGCTTGATTTCGTCAACAGGGGAGCTAAAAATTTCTAGCTATTCCACAGTAATTATTGCCTATGAGCTGGAAAAGTATATTCCATGGCATACCATTAGACAAGAAAGCCAGACCTCCCAATTCACAGATGCTTTACAACACATTAACATTAAACCACACAACTTTCTAAGAAGAGTTGATATTATATAATAATATACTGTAGAATACTTTATTTTCGCTGGAATTAATTTTCGCTGAAAAGGCTGTTTGGGCGTTTTGTATGGAATTTATTTTCACTGATGAGTTTAATGTGAAATATAGGAAAAAAAGTATATTCGCTGGATTTTATTTTCACAGAATCATCCCTTCAGGGAAAATAGTGAAAATAATGTATTCTACAGTAAGTAAATCCGATGACACATAGCATATACTCACCGGTCCAGTGTATTTTATATCAAAGTCCATGCCTGCAGCACACTTGGTAACATAATCAATTTCAGATGGAGTGAACGATACCACAGATAGAGGCATTTCTTGAATGTCCATATCCTTGAAATTACTAGTAAACAGAGACGACAGCATTGTTATATGGTAGTATGGTTCACAACATTACAAATTACCCATTGGAAATTGATTTCTCAAGAACTTTTACTACTTTACCATTTTGAACCTTATTAAATCCCTAAAGAGCTGCTGTAATTGTTTTTCAGAAGTATGGTCAGAATGACAAATTTAACTGTGCTAAAAATTCTGCCAGTCTTTAGGGAATATAATCACTAACATAAGTTCTCATCACCTGGCAGCTAACACACACATTCTTTTGTTTCATCCATTCAAAAACTCACTAAGGTGCTGGAATTTCCAGTTACCTAACAATTGTATAGCATTGTTGTAAACTAAGTTTGGTTTACTGGAGGAAAATAAACTGTTTACAAAAGTACATTTTGTATAGTGATGATAAAAAACCCAACATAGTAAAATGCAAACAGAATACCGGTAGGCCTGACATATTGTATTAAAGTCAATATGCATCAACTACTATAATTACTGATTTGTCCATTTTTTTTTTGGGGGGGGGGGGGGGGGGCAATTCTGCAGATGACCTGATAGTTTTGTGTGCATATGTCAATTTCTGTTTATGTTTGATGAGGCCAAAATAGACCTGGCTTAAAATTTGATTGATATTTGACCTTTTCAAATACAGATTTAAGCATGTCTTTATTTTGGTGGTGATCTACTATTTTCCATTTAACAAAACTATACTAGTGGAATTATGTCTGTCTTTCTGTGTTTTAACTGAGAAAATATGGCACAAAACTATTTCGCCGTAATACCGTAAATTGTGATTTTATTATGTGTAAGTACGACATAATGATGTATGTACACTACATACTGTAGACTTACTACATCAGGAAACCACTAGCTGTCTAGTCTGAATGAGTGTATATATATGTTTCTAATGGTTTTTTCTTTACCTCAATGTTTCTGTAACTTGCTTCTGAAATTCTTGAGAGCATTCCTTCAAAGTAACTTTTGGGGCATCTCCATTCCCAGCTGTAGCTACTGGAATAACAAGTTATTGTAAATCCCAATGCATATGTAAGTGGCTTCAAATTTTCGAAATTATACGAGATCAATGAGATTAAAGCAGGGAAGTAGTCACCTGCACATATGCCGAACAACGATAGTGTGTCATTTACAAACAAACGACATGAGCCTTTGTGTTTTTAACGTTTGTTATTGTTGTTTGCAACCCTAATCCTTTGTATCTGCAGGTGACAACCCCTCCGCTTTAAGCTTTAACGTATTGCCTACTGAAAGTCTCCATTTTTCTCAGGGGCGGGGCTATGTCATAGAAAGCGCTTTGTTGCTAAGATATGCAGCATTGTCCAAAGTATTTTTATGAGTTGCCATGGAACATGCCATGTTGCACAGGGATTTTTAAACAAGGGAACAGCGCCCTCATGTCATGGCTATGCGCCCCGTTACCCTGGGGATCAGATTCTCTGGCTACCATAAAACTCTGATTGACCAGAGATCAAATGTGGCCACAGTTTTCAACTGTGACCTGTCTGATAGTAATTTTGGCCCCAAGGAAGCCATAGTATGCTCCATTTTAACTTAGAATTATCAAAAACTCTCCACTACTTGGTGGCTCCGCTGAGTTGCAGTGCTCCCTCTTGCAGTTTTTTTTCTAAAATAAACCCTGGGGGTAATCTTGTTATACTGTTCAGGAAAGTCTTAAACAACTAGCCCAACGTACAGTTGTTTTCAAAGAGGCTTCAACCATTGATTCAACCGTTGTGGTTGCAAGACGGTGAAAATGCCTGGACGTTTGCTCTTGAGAATAACTGATAATGTATTACAGCTATAGCGTTGTGATTACCTTTGTTGTTCTTTTTAGCAAACATTCTACCATACAGATCCTTCTCTAGTTCTCGGAATTTTTTCACAGATACATCCAGCTTTCGGAGTTCTCTTGTTATTTCTTCATTATGGGGCTCAATCTTCTGTACTTTTACCAGACATTGTTTAGCACGATCAAAGTCACTCAACTGATGCAGTGCCTATAAAGTGTGAAAAATACAAGCCATGCATGGCACAGTCCCTGTTAGATATCAAATTTAAGATATATAGTTTTGTTTATAGTAATATATTAGTAGTTGGAACATTAAACATGTCAGAAGTATGGATCCAGAAGATGATGCTTGATTATGATGATATTTTTAACATTAAAATGATCTGATTGTCAAACGAGTACTTGTCCATATTGAGAAATATTGCTCTGGAACAGCATTAATTAAAATGAAATGGCCACCAGTCAGCCATTTTGAATACATCTATATATCTATAACATGATGTAAAACAAATTTGAACATAATCAGTCAAAGCGCATCAGAGATACAAGTGTATGGCTCTAGAAGCGCATTCATTTAAACAAAACGGCCACCAGTCAGCCATTTTGAATCAGATCTGAAAAATAAATGACATGCATCAGGAACCCATAATCTCTAATGTATGTAGCAAGTTTGAACAAAATCCATCCATAAACGCCAAGATCCAGTTCTGGAATGCCAGAAATGCTTGATTTTTTTAGCACAAAAACGGCTGCCATTTGGTCATTTTGAATCAGATAGTCAAACTAATATATCTATGTCATGATGTATAATGAATATATAAAGTTTGAACATAATCAGTCGAAGCATGGCAGAAATATGGCATTAGAACTGCATTCATTAAAACAAAATGATGTGCACCAAGCAGGGTTCTCCCCAGGGCTTTTTAGCGCCGAGGTCCGCGGGCGCTATACCTGTGAATCTCGGCGCTTCACTTGGGACCTCGGCGCTTGATTCATATTTGACAT